AAATCCATAATTAATGGTAATTTTGCAAATAGACACTCTTAAGTAGCATTCTTACAAATGGACACACCAAAAATGGTATTTTTACAATTGTCACAAAAATGGACAATCCAGAATGGTTTTATCAAATAAAGAGTGATCTTTGACAATATAGTGATGATACATGAGCTCTTTTATACTTTTAAATAAAACAATAAGATCTCAAAGGAATTCATAAGTCATAATCATCAAAGATGCACGAAGAACCTTAGGCTTCTCAAAGAGACGGAGGTATCTGATAATGACATATATTAAAACAGTGATATTGTTCCAACCAACAAGAGGTATAAGACAATGTGACCATGCTTTTCTTTAGTTCTTTGTATTTTCTACATATTTTTTTGCATATGATGCATAAAGCGGAGAGAAAAAGAAAGCTGACATGTTAAGGTCACATTTTATTATTATTTTTCACTAATTTCTACAAGAGTTTTTTCACTAATTTCTCACTTGTTATTCGCAGAAGATAACACATTTTACTGCAAAGAAACTAGAGCATGAGTAATGGTGATACAATGTGGGTATCATTAAATATAAAATTATTAAAATTTGAGTTAAAGAAAGAAAGAGAGTGTTTTTGGTTGAAATAGTGGGGTGTATTGAAATATAAAATTAATAAAATTTGAGTAAAGAGAAGAGATAGTTGATATTTTTGGAGAGAGAGTATCAAATAGTTGATACTTTTGATATTTTTGAAGAGAGAAAGAGAGAGTGTATCAAATGTTTTTAATAATTTTATATTTAAAGAGAATATAAAATTAATAAAAGTTGAGTAAAAGGATGAAAGAAAAGGTATAAAGTGGAGTAAAAGGAAAAGAGAGTGTGTTTTTAATATTTGTATATTCAACTGATACAGCATCGGTATCAAAACATTTAGGATCTAGTTATGAGAGTTTAGGTGAGTTTAGGGATCAAAACATTTTTTAGTGTTTAGAATTTTAAAATATAAGGTTTAAAAATCTATAATTAGTAACATTTTTGCAAATGAACATCTTAAGTGATATTTTTGCAAATATACACATAAAAAATTATATTTTTGCAATTCTTTACTTTGAAAATTGGTTGATGGAGTTTTAAACTTCTTTAGTTTTATTTAAGTTGGGAATGAGATGTATATTGAAAAGAAAAAAACACTTGACTTTGAGCTGGTTCTTATCCTCGTATACTGCTTTATCTTTTTGTCAGTTATTCATTGGTCAATTTAATCAGCTACACTCAAGAAATCCAAATTTGTTTTTTTTTTTTTAAGTATACAAATCCTGCTGTTATTAATGCTGTCTTTTCCAGTACAAGATCGCAACACGTGTTCTATAGGGCCCACGCACTTCAAGCCAAAAGGATTCCGAATTCGATACATGCGAGCCATCGGATCTGAACCATTGGATCAACCAAAGATTAATTCGAATTCTGATGACGTGGAAGGAGATTATGGTTAAAAACTTTGGTTAAATTCAAATTCGGCTTTGATCCCGTTTTAAATTAAATTTTAATTTGGTTGGAATTTAGATATTTTGGTTCGATTTTGGTTCAGTAATTATGCTAATGAGAGTCAAGAAGCCGCGTTTGGTCACGGATCTAAGCATATCTTGGAATATTTATTTGGGTGAAGCGTTATCCATGTAACCAAACACACATGATTATGCACCGAGTCAACGTAGCCCTGGTTTCTCTCTATACATAAGATCTTCTTCGAACTTGTCACCTTCAACCTCGTAATTCCCGGATAATCAGATCTTCTTCGAGATGGCTTCTGCAGAGAGCGAGTACCGGTGCTTCGTCGGAGGCCTAGCTTGGGCCACCGACGATCAATCTCTTGAGAGGACTTTCAGCCAGTTTGGTGAAGTAATCGACTCCAAGGTCCGTTAAAGACGACCCGGAATCCGACCCGGACTCTGTTTTCTCTGTTACTTATCTTCTCTCTCTCTTTGTTACTAATTTGTTACTGTCTGATCTCACAATCGGTACGTCAAGAAGATCGTCCGATTTGTTCGTATCTTGTCCGAT